TTCGTGTACAAACCTTTGATGGTAGCCAGGAGGTTTGCAGAGAACCTTGGTCTCCGAAAAGACAATTTCATGAGAGCCCACCGAGTTGTAGCAATGATCGGCAACGGCCGAAGAATCAGTTCTGCCGTGTTTCAGATCTGACTTGTGCTCGCGGACACGATCAGAAACATGACGTTTCGTTTCTCCAATGTAGCAATCACCACAAATGCAACTCAATTTGTAGACTCCAGGATACTGTAAGTCAGGAACGACATCCTTCACAGATGGAATCAGATCACGGATTTTATGCACTGTACTGAATCGGACTTGGATCTTATGTTTGTTTAGAATTTTGGAGATCTTTTTGGTCACGCCTGCTATGTATGGTAACGTGATAGTTTTGGTCGGAGTTTCATGTGGCTGTTTCTGTGTGGTGGGAGAAACAGCTTGGCGGATAATGCGGTCAGAGTATCCGTTCATCCTGAGGGCCCGATGTACATGTCTTAATTCACCGGCCAGGTGGTGTTGGTCAGAAATGCCATGGACTCTGTGGTATAGCGTTTTGATGAGAGAATTCTTTTGAGATGGGTGGTGGGGGGAATCCGGTTTCAAGTAGGAATCTGTGTGGGTGGCTTTCCTGTAGACAGAATGTCCCAAGGATCCGTCAGGCCTCCTCTCAAACAGAATATCCAAGAATGGTAGTTTACCGTCTTTCTCCACTTCCATGGTGAATCTGATGGATGGGTGTCTAGAATTGATGTGGTCCAAGAAGTGGTTCAATGCTGGGAGGCCACGTGGCCAGATGACGAAAGTGTCATCCACATACCTCTTCCACAGGGAAGGACGCAGGGTGGATGTCTGGATGGCGTCTGATTCAAACTTTCCCATGAACATGTTGGCTATAACTGGTGACAAGGGGGAGCCCATAGGGGTACCCTCATTCTGTTTGTAGAAGGTGCCATTCCAGGTAAAATAGGTGTTGGTGAGGCAATGCCTAACCAGCGCAGGTACATCAGAATTCAATCCATGTTGGACTAAGTCCTCAATTATTGTTAGGGTGTCCGGTACTGGGACTTTGGTGAACAAAGATACTACATCAAAGCTGACGAGGATGTTATCAGGAGATAGTACCATGTCCTTAACCATAGAGACTAATTGGGTTGAGTTGAGTACTGCCGAAGAGGTCTTGCCTGTGAAGGGGAGCAGAGTATCTGATAGAAAACGGGCTAGTTTGTACGTAGGAGAGTTTATCGTCGACACGATGGGTCGTAGCGGCGTGCCTTCTTTATGGATTTTGGGAAGACCATAGAGTCTGGGAGGTCTAGCCGCCGATGGTTTTAGAGTGGGACGTTTGCTTGGTTCGATTAGGGAAGTCGAACTCGTGATGATACTGTTTCTCAGATTGATGTAGCCCTCAGAGGCATAGGACACATCCATGCAGATGTAGCAAGAGCTGAAATAGCTACTATTCTTAAGAATGCTAAGAAACCCACTAGTAACATCAGCAAAAACGAACGCTCTGAACTCGCGGACCTAAAAAAGAGAGATGATATAGTCATCCTCTCGGCAGACAAGGGCACGGTCATCATGGATAAAGATTCATACAACAACAAAATCCTGGACCTTAATGATGGGAGTTACTCCAAAATTAAAAACGATCCCACTAAAAGCCTAACGACAAAAACCAACAGTATCATCACGAGTTCGACTTCCCTAATCGATCCAAGCAAACGTCCCTCTAAAACCATCGGCGGCTAGACCTCCCAGACTCTATGGTCTTCCCAAAATCCATAAAGAAGGCACCCCGCTACGACCCATCGTGTCGACGATAAACTCTCCTACGTACAAACTAGCCCGTTTTCTATCAGATACTCTGCTCCCCTTCACAGGCAAGACCTCTTCGGCAGTACTCAACTCAACCCAATTAGTCTCTATGGTTAAGGACATGGTACTATCTCCTGATGACATCCTCGTCAGCTTTGATGTAGTATCTTTGTTTACCAAAGTCCCAGTACCGGACACCCTAACAATAATTGAGGACTTAGTCCAACATGGATTGAATTCTGATATACCTGCGCTGGTTAGGCATTGCCTCACCAACACTTATTTTACCTGGAATGGCACCTTCTACAAACAGAATGAGGGTACCCCTATGGGCTCCCCCTTGTCACCAGTTATAGCCAACATGTTCATGGAAAAGTTTGAATCAGACGTCATCCAGACATCCACCCAGCGTCCTTCTCTGTGGAAGAGGTATGTGGATGACACTTTCGTCATCTGGCCACATGGCCTCCCAGCATTGAACCACTTCTTGGACCACATCAATTCTAGACAACCCATCCATCAGATTCCCCATGGAAGTGGAGAAAGACGGTAAACTACCATTCTTGGATATTCTGTTTGAGAGGAGGCCTGACGGATCCTTGGGACATTCTGTCTACAGGAAAGCCATCCACACAGATTCCTACTTGAAACCGGATTCCTACCACCACCCATCTCAAAAGAATTCTCTCATCAAAACGCTATACCACAGAGCCCATGGCATTTCTGACCAACACCACCTGGCCGGTGAATTAAGACATGTACATCGGGCCCTCAGGATGAACGGATACTCTGACCGCACTATCCGCCAAGCTGTTTCTCCCACCACACAGAAACAGCCACATGAAACTCCGACCAAAACTATCACGTTACCATACATAGCAGGCGTGACCAAAAAGATCTCCAAAATTCTAAACAAACATAAGATCCAAGTCCGATTCAGTGAAGTGCATAAAATCCGTGATCTGATTCCATGTGTGAAGGATGTCGTTCCTGACTTACAGTATCCTGGAGTTTACAAATTGAGTTGCATTTGTGGTGATTGCGACATTGGAGAAACGAAACGTCATGTTTCTGATCGTGTCCGCGAGCACAAGTCAGATCTGAAACACGGCAGAACTGATTCTTCGGCCGTTGCCGATCATTGCTACAACTCGGTGGGCTCTCATGAAATTGTCTTTTCCGAGACCAAGGTTCTCTGCAAACCTCCTGGCTACCATCAAAGGTTTGTACACGAAGCCATACAAATATACAAACACAGACATAATTTCAACCGTGATGACGGTTACAAACTGAGTAATCATTGGAAAGATGTGATTACCATGCAAAAAAGATTTAACTACACTTATTTGGCCAATCTTATTTGACAGACAACTATTACAGGTTTACCATGTTTAGTTGTTGTCTCCTTGTCACAGGTTGAGTCACAAACCGTACCTCTCCATAACAAAGGCTCACCCTCTTAAGCCTCACCTTACCATATTAATAATAAGTATAACCCGTAAAAACAAAGTTTTTCACTATAAATCCTTTATATGCGTAGCAGCGAACTTAATATAAAGGATTTAAAAATATATTCGCCTGTGGAGGACGCGGGGATCGATCCCGGGACCTTTGGCATGGGAAGCGAGGGCGCTACCAACTGCGCTACTCCGCCACGGCCTGTGGAGGGGTTACGCTCTGGGCTCTTATACTGTGACGTTCAGCCAAAGCCAAGAATGAGTTCTTTTGAATATATGTAAAATATTTTTTTTTTGCCTAAAAAGTGTAAAATTTTGGGAATTTTTTTTCACGAACATTAATTGTCTGGCACAACGAGTCTGTGTGGAAAATGTCAGCTCGATTGGATCACGGGAAGTGGGTTAAAAAACGACCGAAAGATTTGCACGGTCCTAAGCAAGCAAGCAAGCACACAAGCAAGCGAACTTAATATAAAGGATTTAATAAAAAACGACCGAAAGATTTGCACGGTCCTAAGCAAGCAAGCAAGCACGCAAGCAAGCGAACTTAATATAAAGGATTTAAAAAGTGTGCTGTACTTGGCCCTTCCCCCCCCCCTCTCCAACCATTATATAAACGGAATGGTAGCTCCTGCAATTTCTCATTTACTTGATACAGCTGTCGTGGCTGTGACGGTTCCACCTGAAGACGGAAGCTTGTGTTGCCTCCGAAACGTCGTGATTTTTTATTTATTTTACTTTTATTAATTTTAATGTTTTACCTACGTGACTTTACCGAAAAAACCTAATAATAAGAGGTTTCTTTTTTGGGTTAGATCGCGTAAATATATAAATGTGTCGTTAAAACCCACCACCACCCGACACAGCCAACTAGTAAGGGTTGTCACGTACGCAGAACATGCCAATTTGTAACTAGTACAACTCACGGTGTGTTGGAGAGTCAAGCCACAACATTTACAATCTGAGTACGACGTTTCGCCAGTAATTACAACTAGCTTCATCAGGCAACAGCCAGATTTGTGGAGACATTCACCTGTTTCGTTCCTTATATAGAGGCGTAGATGTGGTGCCTGTTTTTATCATTTGCCTGTTATCATTCGCCTGTTATTAAGTTAAAAGTAGAAATTGTTATTATTTTTGTAATCACGTTATCAGTATAGAAATAATTGTTATTTCGTTAAAAGTAGAGATAATTATTGTTATCAAGTTCTAAGTGGAAATAATAATTACTGTTCTCATTCGCCTGTCGTTATCATTTGCCTGTTGTTATTTTTCGCCTATTGTTATCAAGTTAGAAGTAGAAAGTTATTATTATTATTATTCGCCTGGTGTTGGTAGTGCATGTCTCTAATCCAGCACTGTGGAAGGTAGTGAGGGTTGGTGAATCACCGCACAATGATGTTGGAAAATCCCCTTCCTGTGGGCGTCGAGGTGCCATAACCTGACTCGCCAGGAGAAGGCAGTAGAGCAAGTGGACTAATCGCCATCTTCACCTGTACAGGGATAGAGTGTTTCACCCTCGCACGCATGGGTTTTCTCCGGGTACTCCGTTTTCCCCCACTGGTATAAACACTCGTCATTAATTAGCGCATAATGCCTCCATAGAGGACCGCAGAGCTTGGACAATTGTTGGTACTGGCTCACCACGTGGCTTCCTTCCTGCACGGCTGTGGTTCCTCATGCCTCTGAGTCGTTCTTGTGCGCGCTATAAAACTTTTAATTATTACTGTTATTCGCCAGGCGGTGGTGTTGCAAGCCTGTAATCCAGCAGTGGAAGGCAGCAAGGGTGAGTGGATCACACAGTGAATGTTGTGAAACCCCCTTCCCGTGGGCATCCAGGTGCCTTCTCCTGGCTGGCTGGCCAGGAGAAGGCAGTACAGAAAGTGGGATAATCGCCATCTTTGCCTATACGGTTTAAAGTGCTGCCCCACGGGTTTTCTCCAGGTGCTCCGGTTTCCCCCACTTGTGTAAGAACTCATCATTCATTCGTCGAAAACTTTAAAAAAAACAATTCAGGACCCGACTGTGACTCAGTGTGGATTTCCTGGAGTAAGTCTATTTTATTATTATGCAGAATTAAAGGGGCTGTTTAATGACACTACTAGAGAGCTGGCTTGCACTGCGAGGAACTTAATATTCAACTTGGATTCCGCAACCCTCAATGGCCTTTTTAAGTTAAATTTGTGCATGTAAGACTCGCACAAACAACCATACCCAGAAACCCATAGACCTCAACAGAGACCCATACATTCCTACAGACACTCAGACTCACACAGCAACCCCATACTCACAGAGACCGATAGACATGCACAGAGACCCATAGCCTCACACAGAGATCCATACACTCAAAGGCCCAAAAACTCACACAGAAATCCATAGATTCGCACAGAGGTCAATAGATTTTTAATTTGAATATTTATTTATACTGGATGAATCTGATGAGCTATAACGATGTTTTCACAGACGTCCAATCGGGTGGGTCAGAAAATAACAACAAAAATACAAACATCACAGGAAAAGTAAACAAATTGTTTCCAAATATACAAATTAAACTGAACTCTTTTTATCTTACCATAGACTCATGCAAACATGTTGGACTCGCACAGAGACCTTAACCACTAAACCTCGAACAATTAAAACCCTCTAAACCTCTAAACCCCTAACTATCTAAATCCATAACCATCTAAACCGCTAACCCTCTCAACCCCTTTACTCTTACAACCCTAATCTTTAAACCCCTCGCCCTCTAAAAGCTTAACCTCTAAACCCCCAAAACCCTAACCCTCTCAACCCCTAACCCTCTAAATTCCTATACCCCTAACCCTCAACCCCTTTACCGTTTAAACCCTAACCCACCAAAACCCTCACTCTCTAAACCCCTTATTCTTTTAACCCTAACCGTCTAAGCCATTAAAAACCAAACCCTCTAAACCCTCTGAATCCCAAACCCTCTAATCCTTGAAACCCTAACCTTCTAAAACCCTAAATCCCTAACATTCTAAATACCAACCAATCTAAACCACTACCCTCTAAAGAACTAACCCTCTAGACCCCTAACCCTCTGAACTCATAACCTCCTAAATCCTCAACCTCTAAAATCCTAACCCTCAAAACCCTAACGTTCTAAAAACCTAAATCTGTAACCTAATCCCAACACATTTAAACCCCAACCCTCTAAAGAACGAACCCTCTAGACGCCTAACCCTTAAAACACCTATGCCCCTAAAATGCTAACCCTCTAAACACATAATCCACTACACCCGGAACCCTCTAAACCCATAAAGGTTTTTTTTGTTAGATTATGTAAATATAAACGTGTCGTTAAACCAACCACCACCCGAAACAGTCAATTAGTAAAATTTGTCACATCAACAAAAAGTGCCATTTAGTGTTGGAGACTAACCCAAAAAAAACTTTATTATGGACAATATTAGTTGTGAAAGTCTAGGTGTTAAACCCTCAACTCTCAAACCACTAAACCCCTAACACTGTAAATCACTAACCTTGAAACCCCGATACCTCTAAACCCCTAAACCTTATAATCTCCTAACCCTCTAAACCACTACCCCTTGAACAATAAACCCCATAAAATCTCTAAAGACCTAATTCTCTAAACCGAGAATCCTTTAAACCCATATCCTTCTAAACTGTAAATCATCAGGGGATCAAATACTTTTTTCCCTCACTGTAAACCCAAAACCCTATAAACCCCTAACCCTCTAAACCCCTTTACCATCTAAACTCCTTTACCCTTAAACCCCTTTACCCTGAAAACCCTAACGCTCTAAAACCCTGTACCCCAAATAGCCTAATCCTCTAAACACCTAACCCTCTAAACCCAAACCCTCTAAACCCCTAACTCTCGAATCCCCTCAACCCCTAAACCCTATAACCCTCGAAATCCCTAAACCTCTAAACCCCTTATCCCTGAAATAACCCGAAACCTCTAAACCCTTAACTTTATAAATCCCTAACCCTCTAAACCCCTAACCCTTTGTGTGGAATGTGGTGGGGGTGGGATCATGGGGTGGGTGGGTGCAGGGTGTGTGTGGTGTGCGGTGGGTAGTGGGTATCACAAGGGGGTGAATGGGTGCAGGGTATGTGTGGTGGGTATGGTGATAGTGGTTGTGGTTCACAACGATCCGGAACCACCACCACCACCTCTACTGTGTGGTGGACCGGCCACCACACAGCAGCACGCGTCGGAGGAGTGAACGGATGGTTCTCCCTATGCGGGCCAGACTCCCTGGCTTCCTCTTCTCCTCCTGCATCATCATCACCTGATCCTCTTTCCTTGTCATCTCTTTCTCCACCATCTTCTCCACCAATGTCTCCTCCACCTGCACCACCATCTCATCCTCCTGCTCCTTCGTCCATACCTCCTCTGTCTCCCCCCTCATCTCCTCTTCTTCCTGCACCACCAGCTTTTGCACCAGGGTCTCCTCCTCCTGCACCACCAGCTCCTCCACCAGGATCTCTTCCTCCTGCACCACCAGCTCCTCCACTAGGGTCTCCTCCTCCTGCACCACCAGCTCCTCCACCAGGGTCTCCTCCTCCTGCACCACCAGCTCCTCCACCAGGGTCTCCTCCTCTGCACCACCAGCTCCTCCACCAGGATCTCCTCCTCCTGCACCACCAGCTCCTCCACCAGGGTCTCCTCCTCCTGCACCACCAGCTCCTCCACCAGGGTCTCCTCCTCCTGCACCACCAGCTCCACCAGGGTCTCCTCCTCCTGCACCACCAGCTCCTCCTCCTGCACCACCAGCTCCTCCACCAGGGTCTCCTCCTCCTGCACCACCAGCTCCTCCACCAGGGTCTCCTCCTCCTGCACCAACAGCTCCTCTACCGGAGTCTCCTCTTCCTCCACAACAACCGTCAGCCATTTAGAGGCCTGGGCGAGCGCGGAGGATGGGGGCAGCGCCGGCTCCGCTCTGTAAAGAGATGCGCACGACACCGTTCCAACTTCCTGTTACAGCAGAGATCGCACTCCCCCCCCCCCCCCCCCCCACCATCGTGCGGAGATAGATTAACCAGGTTAATAACGATGCTGCAGTAACGCAGCATACCTTTGCCCATCGTGGGTCTGGTTACAAAATGGGCATTAGTCTTGCGATATCACACTGGATGAAAGGCTACATGGCAAAGATATGGCTGCTTCATTATTTGTCCTCACCCAGAAACCAATTATAAAAATACATCTGTATATAACCGAATGTACACGTGGGGTTTGAACTGTACATGTGTTCGTTGGCAGGCGGCAGGGCTGGAACTCACAGAGGGACCTGGGTTTGATGCCCAAACTTGGGCCACTTTCTCCGTGTGGAATGTGGAGTGTGTTCTACCCCTCCCCCCCCCGTTTTATCCTGCACTAGCATAAGTACCCGGCTTCGCCCGGGACTTGGATCCACCACGCCCGGCCGCCTTTGTCTCCCCAGTGGCAATGTTAATACGCCACACCAGTTACTCGTTTTGAGGTTGAGTCCCTCCCTCACCACTCTCCCTCCCTCACCACTCTCCCTCCCTCACCACTCTCCCTCCCTCACCACTCTCCCTCCCTCACCACTCTCCCTCCCTCATCACTCTCCCTCCCTCACCACTCTCCCTCCCTCACCACTCTCCCTCCCTCACCACTCTCCCTCCCTCACCACTCTCCCTCCCTCACCACTCTCCCTCCCTCACCACTCTCCCTCCCTCACCACTCTCCCTCCCTCACCACTCTCCCTCCCTCACCACTCTCCCTCCCTCACCACTCTCCCTCCCTCACCACTCTCCCTCCCTCACCACTCTCCCTCCCTCACCACTCTCCCTCCCTCACCACTCTCCCTCCCTCACCACTCTCCCTCCCTCACCACTCTTCCTCCCTCACCACTCTCCCTCCCTCACCACTCTGTAGAGGACGTGAAACTTTGATGAATTTACCTCAAAGTCGCGTGGTGGGTGTCGAGGCCTAGCAGCGTGCAGAGCCTCCGGCCTCGCCTAAATTGCCCACCCGGCAGAGGCTGGGTACGGGTGCCGTTCCCCCCCCCCCCCCCCCGCGCTACAATAATACTGTCTAATCGCTATAATTTTATAATCTACCGACCCTATAATAGTAATTGCACACATTGTGGTTGGGGGGGGGGGGAGTGAAGAGGACGTGAAACTTTGATGAATTTACCTCAGAGTCGCGTGTTAATGCGTGCACCTATTTTTAACGGGAATTAAAAATGGCGTCCACCCCGCGGCGAAGGCGTCACTACCCGTTGCCAGGGGCAACCGCCGTCCAATGAAACTGCGTATGGTCCGGCGACCCACAGACAGACAGACAGATTCGCGATTTTATATATATATATTGGTTTCCAAAATCAGAATAAATTATTTAGACTGGATGAAGAGGAATCCGATAAGCTATGGAGCTCTTCTTTCACAGATATGCAGTCGAGGCACAGGGTCAGCAAGTTACAACAACAAACAAAAGAAAATGAGTGCAACGTGTAAAAATGTAAGCAAGTCACAAAATAACTGAGCATATAAGCACAAAGTACGTAAAATCCTGCCAGTTTTTCAACACTAAATACAAATGTAGGGGTTGTTACGGGGAGAAAGGCGGACAAACACAAGGGTGTCTGGATCCACACACGGGTGTCTACATCCACGTCCGCATCGGTTAACCCTGGGGGGGCATGGGGGTGCTGTGATCCCCCATAGCCCCACCCCTCGGAGAGGATTCTTATAAAAGGCGGGGAGCCAGAGGGCTCGGGGCCAGTGTGTTAGATGATTACCAGAGAAGACTGAAGACCGGCAGAATAGGCCCTGGAACTCCCCTGGCTCGCTGTCCTTGTCAGGGCCGAGCAGGGCAAGTGGCGCGGCCCCAAGAGCTCCAGGACCGCTGCTCTTGTAAGAGCACGGCCTGGTTAGCTGGGTGCCGGGATCCGTGCTTGACCAGGGCCGGATCAGATAGCCTCCCCTAGCACTCATAGCGGAGGACTGGGAATATGAGAAGTCAGGGGATAGTGCTAGGGGTGTTTCCCATTGAGTACGGGTGAAGGGGCCGTTACCCCTTCAAGTATTGTTACCGCCTTTTGGTTAAATAAAAGAGTGTGCCTCAACTACGTCGTCTGTCTCCCTGATAACTCACTAAACCTGTATAAGTGTAGTGTATCGTGTCGTGTATAGTGTAGTATATAGTGTAGTGTGTAGGTTAAACGTTGAGTTTTATAAGGGCACCACGGGGTGACCAGCCCCTCCCCACCCAGCCCCACCCCCCACCCAGCCCCACCCTCCCCACCCAGCCCCTCCCCTCCTCCCCCAGCCCCTCCCCACCCTCCCCTCCCCCAGCCCCTCCCCACCCTCCCCTCTCCACCCAGCCCCACCCCTCCCACCCCCACCCTCCCCTCCCCATGCACGACAGACAAATAATCCCTGGTGGGCAGTGTGGAACCTGTTGTTCCTACCGGTATAACAGTGGGAAATATCTGAACCGGTCCTGGGCCTCCCATTGGTCGACTCAACCTCAAATGAGTACCTGATGCAGTGTATACACATCACCACGAGGGAGACAAATGCGGCTGGGCGTGGTGTTGGCCACCCACTCCCCTGTGTACTGTGCCAGTCCTCATTAGGTGCTCACTAACACCACTTGCCTCAAAAATCTGTTAAGGCTATGAGGGGGATCTTTGTACAGTGGCATTGGCTACGTATAAACTGATACTTTGAACGGAGTTTATAATACAGCATGGCCTATGTAACGCATCATATACCGTGAACACAGCACCATGAAAGTGTGTGCCGTATAATACAGAGTATGTGTAAAGGAGCATAGCCTG